GCTCCCCGCCTCGCTCCGGTCCTCCACAAGGAGAGGGGGGCTTTGGGTGCTGTGCCAGCTGAGAAGCCTCTCCCTCCTCTGCCAAGGGAACATGGAGACTCAGCAGCTGGCAGGTTGGCTGTTCCTGAGGTGGGGGGCGGGGAGAATGGGACGCTATTGTGCATGTGTTTTGTGTGCCCCAACTGGAGCAGAGTGGAGAGAGAGAGAGAGAGAGTTTTTATTTCAAACGCTTCCATTGTAAAAAGACAAAATTATCTTTCTGGAGCTGTTGTAGAAACCAAAAATAGACTTGGAACCAAGAAGGCTTGAATTAAATAATTCATGGAATTATAAAGTTTATACTCTGATGACTCATGAGGTAAGGAAAAGAGCATTCCTGTCTAAAGGATCTTGTAGGAAAGGGATATTGAGCAGTGGGACAATGAGGGCGTCAAGAAGGGCCTTTCCTGAAACGTGTTGGACCGCTGTCCCCACCAGGGCCTGGGAGGAACAAGCCCTAAGAGTCAGATTCCCGCAACACAACTCAGAACCAAACAAATTGCATTACAGCCATACCGTGACTTGTGAATCAGGCCTCGGAGTCTATTTGTACCCAGAGGTGACCGCTTGGAGATTCTTTGCAAGCTAAGTGGTCCGGTCATGAGCTGTCTTTCTGGTTCTGTGATTTCAGGAAGGGAAGAAAAGTCCCAGCGCTTGTATTGCGCAAGGATCACAAGTACTGGAGGCTCTGCTGGGAAGAATATCAAGCTCATCAACTTAATTTCTGTAATTTTCTACGGGGTTTCTTATGCTTAAAGGGCATAGAAATGTCCCTGGAAGGGTGTTAATCCTTCAAGTTAAGTGGGAAAAATTGTGGGTCCTTCAACTCACATTCCATCATCTGTTACCCCTTAAGGCTGGCTGGTTCCTCTTCTCCCTCCACACACACACATCTAAAAGGGGCCTTATTACAAATAAGGAGCACCCGTAGTCAAGACCCTGCCTGGTGAACGCCTGATGGAGGTTGGGTCTAATTCTGGCTATCAGTGCCAGACCAAGGAACAACCCCTGCCCCGGGTTCTTGGAACATGGTTAAGCTTTGTGCATTTCCTGCAGGACCTCTGGCACTGGTGTATTTGCTTCTCTCCTTTGCTGGCGCTTCATGGATCAGGTGACTAGCTGGGGATGGTTTGCCCTTCTCAACTGATCCTTGGTCTCAAAGGCTCTCATTTTACAGGAGGGCTGCTTGGCTGTGCAAGACTCTGATGCTCTCCGGCCAAGCCGGACTTCATCTGGGCAAGCGGTTCTCTTGCTTGCAAGTAATCTACTTCTTGGGAGGAGCTATTTACACATTGTTCTAAAGATTAGGACGTAGGAAGGATTTGAACCCAGGGTTTTAATATGAAGCAGACTTGACTTGGCTTTCCCCAGCCACGTGTCCTCCAGATGTGTTGGACAGAGCTCCATGATCCCCCAGGGGCAAGCATAGCACCTGGGGATGTAGTCTGACACGCTTGGAGGGCACCGGGTTGGGGAAGATGCTATGTCATCTCAGGGGAACCCAAATGCACCTCAGCCAAAGAGTCTTTAGGGCAATTCCTTGCCTTCAGCAGACTCAGATCAAGGCAAGGAGTTGGCTTAAATTGCCTAGCCAAGTAAGGAGCTGTTTTTTTATGCAAACAACAAAAGGAAGGGGGCAGGGAGGGGGAACACACAATCTAATAATAGTTTTACCTGTCTGGATTTTGAACTCTGTTCTTTACAGCAGATCTTTCCACTGTAATTTTACGGGTATTGTGATTTCCTGGGAAACTTCTGCAATCACTAGACCTTTGTGCTAAATTTATCATATGAAAATAATCCTCCACGTTATTTCTGCTACATCTGAAGGCAAGGGGTGTGAACGGGATGTGTGTGTCGGTGCGTGTAGGTGACAGGCAAGCAGGAACAAGATTCAGTTAAGAAACAGGCTTGTGTGCAATTAACTGTTCCTGCTTCGTGGGATGAATGCTGCTTTCACCAAAAATGTCTTTTCAACCAAGCAGGGGCCCTTCTGAGCCCAAAGCCTCTTAGAATAAGGGCCGCGTGGACTGTTGGTTCTCACGCAGGTGAGCCGCGCCTTGAGACACTTAAAGAGGAATTGCCCAGTCAGGAAAGTGCTTCTTGGGACCTGCCTGGGATATCCAGGCGCGGATTACATTTGTTCTGTCCCACCCCTGGTTGTAAAGTTATTTGCAGGGGAGGTGTCGGGAGCCTATGAAATCTGGTGTGAGTAGGTAAGGACAGTTGGTGCAAGAGCCTAAGAAGCGGCTGGATCGGGCCAGCAGTGCACCAGTGGGGTGCCCTCGAGGGAGGGCTGGAGGGCAGCAGGACCATCAGAAGCCAGGACAGCCTTGGCTCCCCACCCCCTCCGTCACTGAAAACTGACTAAGGGGGCGTCGGTGTGATTGCCGCTCCGCCACTTTTATTGCCCTTCGCTGGCGAGCTGCATGTCCTTGGAGGCACCCCTGATCTGTAGCTTGAGTGGGGTCTCTGTAGGTCAGCGGACCGCTAAACTGGGATTTGCGCAATGCAAG